GGGGATGTCTGGAGGAAGTGAGCTTCGTGACTGGTGGATGGAGATGGCAGCCCTGACAAGAAGAGGGACCCAGCTTCTACTGAGCCAGATAGGACGAAGCAGAGCTGAGAATGGTGAGTTTCTAGATGTGGTGGTGGGAAGGGTTCCTGCCTGGTGTTTCTGCTGCTTCTGTGAAGGGGGCTGTCTGCTGCTGACAACGGGGCAGAGTTGGTGGTGTACAAGGTTTCAGGAGAGAACAGAAGGCTTCAGTTGGATGCTGGGGAGGATGACGAGAACACCTGGCCGAGGAAACCACAGGAGACTTGGACAGAGGGCTTGAGGACCAGGGGTGGCTGGACACCATGAGTTTAGATCTACAGCGCATCTTTCAGTGGTGGGACTTTCTCTGCCACAACCAGCTGCCAGGATGTGGGCATAGGAAGGTAAAACAGCTGGATTCTGTTCTTAGGATCCTTAAAGTCTGAGGAGCTTTTTGTACCTGGAGAGGAACACTAACCGCCATCTGTGCTTTATTTGTTGTTTAATCTATTTACCTTGTAAACCTACTTAAGCAAAATTGTCTAAACATTTAAACACGATTTATATACCCAATAAATGTATTTTACAAATCAAGTGATTTAAACATTGATTGTAAACTTAAATCCTCATACATATTTCAATAGGATCACCAATATAATGCATTAAGTTCTCTAAAAGCATGATTTTGGTAAAGCACACACATCTTACAAGGACCATGACGTTTATTACACCTACACTTACACTTATTATAAAAATGGGTTTGTAGACCCAAGAGATGGATACTATCTCAGTTTAGCCATCCAAAAAAAGAAACTTATCTCAGTGCAGATGAAGTTTTGTATTACTCATCAACGAATTCTTGGTTGGGACCTGGGAACTGGATCCCCTTCTAAAATGACTAAAATCAGAGCCAGTGTTTACCTTGAATAGCATGGGAATTCCTCAAGCCCACACTTTTCCCACATGATTAGTGTGTTGTAGCTGGATGGCCAACCTTAAATTTAATGACGAGGATATTCCAAAAATGTCCATGTTCCATGCAGATGTTCCAAAAATGTCCATGCCCTGATCCCTGGAAACTTGAATTATGTTTCATGGTAAAATGGACATTTTCATATGTAATTTAGGTTAAAATGGGGAGATTATCCCGGATTTTCTGAGTGGGCCCAAACTAATCATGTGGTCACTTAAAATCAGAGAACTTTCTCCACTGAAGTCAGAGACATGGACGGGTCAGGGAGATTCAAAGTGTATGAGGGGCTTGGCCCAACATTGTTGGCTCAAAGATGGTGGATCTCAGTCCTACAGCCATAAGGAACTGAACTCTGAATGAGCTTGAAAGTGGATTCTTCTCCTTCAGCAAGGAAGGCAGCCCTTGCTTTGGACCTTATGAAACCCCAGATAGAGAATCCAGTCATGCTCTGCTGGACTTCTGACCTACAGAAAACTTTGAGATAATGGATAGGTGTTGTGTTAAGCTGCTAATTGTATGGTAATTGGTTACACAGCAATGGAAAGCCAATACTACAACTTCACTGTCATTATTGACAAATTTATGTAGTCCATTTGCACTTTTAGAAACATCTAGTTGTTTTCCCCCAATATGCAGTTTCCTCTTTTTCCTCATTATAAAACTTCTAATGTTTAGCTGAGCAGAGCAGCCTGGAATAAAGACTCTACCTCCTAGCCTCTCTCCCTGGCCTGGTGTGGCCGGGTGTGACTAAATCCTAGTCAATGAGATGCAACCGGAATGTGGGATGCACCTTTCAGAAGGCTTCTATAAAGGAAAGTGGTGTGCCCTTTCTTCCTTCCTCCTTCCCGGGGGGCTGTAAGGCTGATGTGATGGCTGTAGTGCAAGCAGCCATGTTGGGCCATGAGATGGCATGCTAAGATGGTAGAACTGCAAGAAGGGAAACTCAGCTGTGATCATCATGAAACTGCAATCGGGCCCTAGACTCTTCATGTGCGAATTCTTCTATGTGAGACAGAAATAATCTTCCTCGGTTAAGCCATTATTATTGGGTTTACTCTTACTGAAATCTCATTGTAATTAGTATCATAACATAGAGGCTCCCTTTCCCAAGAGATGAAGGATCAAGTTTGAGCTGTGAGCAGTTATCTTTTAGACGTTTGACTAATTCATCATCTTGCAACACGCTGTTGGGCTCCCTTTCTTCCTAGTCGTAATATGTGACCAGATGGTGCCAATCAGTCTTCTTCATTCTTGACACAGTTCCAACTTCCTCTGGAATCACTCACAGCTCTATGTGTCCACCCCTCCCTACTTATACAGATAGAGAAATGAGTGTACCTTATGAAGAGATAAAATACCTACTATTTTTATACTCTTCTACTTATCAGAATTAACTAAAAATATACCATTATATTTGTTCTTCTCCACTTGGTATATTAACTATCTTTTTGGACATTTTTATAGTGACTGTTTCCTTTTTGAATATCACTCCAGAGTCATGGATTTTAAAAATTCACCGTGTTCTGATTAATTATATTATTTTCCTTTTTTAAAAAATTAAAAAAAAATTTCGGGACACCTGATGGCTCAGTCAGTTAAGCGTCTGCCTTCGGCTCAGGTCATGATCCCAGGGTCCTGAGATTGAGTCCCGCATCGGGCTCCTTGCTCAGTGGGGAGCCTGCTCCTCCCTCTGCCTCTGCCTCTCCCCCTGCTTGTGATCTCTCTCTGTCTCTCTCTCTCTGACAAATAAATAAAATCTTAAAAAAAATTTTTAAAAATTTAAAAAGATTTTATTTATTTGAGAGAGAGTGAGAGAGAGCACGAGTGGGGCTAGGGGCAGAGGGTCAGGAAGAGGGAGAAGCAGACTCCCCACTGAGCGGAGAGCCCGATCCCAGGACCCCGAGATCACGACCTGAGCCGAAGGCAGGTGCTTAACCGACTGAGCTACCCAGGTGCCCCTATTATTTTCCTTTTGATGATCAAACTGTCACAGTATGTCAGGTGGGAGCATTTTAAGACGGATTCCTTTGCCTTTTCAGCGCTACCTTATACAGTTTAAAAAAAATATCCTTGCTTTTTGTCATTAACAACATGTTCCAGGCCTAGAGTTATTTAAGACATGGAGCTATTTATTCTCCAAGGAACACTGAGTTCTATTTATTTATTTATTTATTAAAGATTTTTATTTTTATTTTTTTAAAGATTTTATTTATTTATTTGAGAGAGAGAGAATGAGAGACAGAGAGCATGAGAGGGAGGAGGGTCAGAGGGAGAAGCAGACTCCCTGCCGAGCAGGGAGCCCGATGCGGGACTCGATCCCGGGACTCCAGGATCATGACCTGAGCCGAAGGCAGTCGTTTAACCAACTGAGCCACCCAGGCACCCCAAAGATTTTTATTTTTAAGTAATCTCTATACCCAGCGGGGGGCTCGAACCTACAACCCCGAGATTAAGGGTCACACGTTCCACTGACTGAGCCAGCCAGGCACCCTTCCACCTGAGTTATTTAATCTAATTAAATTAATTAATTAATTTATTTTTAAAGATTTTATTTATTTATTTGAGAGAGAGAGAGAGAGCGCGAGCACAGGTGGGTGGAGGGGCAGAGGGAGAGGGAGAAGCAGATTCTCCGCTGAGCAGGGAGCCCAAGGTGGGGCTTGATGTCTGGACCCTGGGATCATGACCTGAGCCGAAGGCAGCCGCTTAATCGGCTGAGCCACCCAGGTGCCCCTCCCCCATGAGTTATTTTAAAGGTGAATAATATTTGAGGCAAAGATCCTGGTGCTAAGAATGCATATCAGATTTTTCCTGATGTTGTTTCTAGGCTACTTTAATGACAACGTTTGAAAAAGTTATTTCTTTTGAAAACCACAAATTCACATTGGTATTTCCTATTTAATTCAAGCATTACTAATTTCCTTTTTTATTTGACTTGAATATACAAGCTTACATTTATCTTCTCAACAACATACCTGCCTGTAACTTGTAACCCCTGATCCCAATTGTAAGGGCGTCTTGTCTCTTCAGTGATCCTGCAGTTTCTCATTGACCATCATTCTCTAGTTGGCTTTACTGATAGGCTCATCCATGCTGGGAGAATGGGACAGCTCGGTAAGACAGAGAGATTTTATAATACCAGCAGGAGAGTGGTTGAAGGGATGAGTCATAGCATCCAAGATAACAGGAAGTTTAAGAAAGGAGGACAAGACAGCACAAATCAGGAGAAAGAAGAGAGGCTGAGGGATCATCTGGAACAGGTACGGTGAAGGAAGCTGAGAGAGCTGCGAGGTGACCGTCAGAGTGTGGAGTGGCTGAAGTTCAGATCACAAAGGTGGAGCAGTTCTAGGAGGTGGCCTTGTCACTGACACATTCCATGCCTGGAGATCTACACTTGCTCACATGTGACTTTCTACCCCTACCTCCAGCTGTCTAAGGAAACTGGGTACACCCACTCTTGGCTAGAGCGAACACACACACCCCATCTCTTGGATGGGGAGGGGAAGGCCAGAGTCCATCTGGGACCTAGCACAGATGGATACCCAGGTTCACTGCCTGCTGGCTGTCCCCATGTAAATGAAATACGTATACCTTGTTCAGGCTGGGCACCTGCCCTGCCTGCCTCACCAGCCACAGGCTCCAGGCCGCTCTGTGGTCCTCCCCGCACTTCTGCTGGTGCCTAAGCCTCCTGCCCCAGCCCACACGGTGCTGGCTCAGCTTCTGATTGTGCTGGCCAAGATCCGTGATGCTGGCACACCTCATAGGAAGGAGCCTGCAGGGTACACTGAGGCTGGTCCATCTGGGCCCCGGTGGGGGCCTGTCAGGCTCACCTGGGCCACCTGTCCCCAAATAGCACTGAGTGGAGAGCTGGGGGTGGAGGAACAGGAAGAGCAGAGTCTGCAAAGTGGCACAGACCTCCCTACCTGCCAAACCCCACAGGCACAAAGAGCTGCAGTGGGAGGCAGGGGGTGGGAGGGGAGGTAAGAGGGGCCAGGTCCCCAGACACCACAGCTCTACTCTTCACTCTTCACCTTGGGTGTTAGGCACAGGGTCCCATGCAAGAAGGTAGAATACAGGCAGCCAGAGGGAGCCTCTCTCCTATCCCAAAGAAGCTGCTTCTGGGGCAGGAGAGGGCAGAGGGCGGAGGTCAGAGGTCAGGGGTTAGATTCCAGTCCTTGAAAAGCTTGAACCTTTAGAGTGGGAAAATGAGGAAGCCAGAGAAGCTTGAATATTTCCAGCCACCCAGTAGGTTCCCCCGACGCAGGCGCAGGGACACCCGGTCCCCCGGGTCCAGGGGCAGTAACACAGAGCTGGTGGCTGCCTCTCGAGTCACATCAGGGTCGTTGGCAAAGGCTGAGATGACAGGCCATGTGTTCAGCATCAGGCTCACCTGGGGAGGTGAGCCCAGTTAGCACTTCTGCCCAGCCCTTGTCCCAAGACCCCCCACTTTCCTGAGGGCTGCTTTTTTTCTCCAGCCCCTAAGGGACTCTGTAATCCTGGGAACTTGGGGCTCAGTGCACTCTTGTAGGAGGGCTGAGAGGTGGCCAGTGTTGTCCTCTACCTCCTCCACCCTCTCTGCTAGGCCGGTCCTTTCCGCCCTTGCCCCTGCCAGCCCCCCACCCTACAGTTCAAAGAAGGGTCTACCGAGGAGTCACAGCTGGACTCCACTTGTTCTCCCTCCCTCCCCTCCCCTCCTGAGCCAGGACAGGGCCCCAGCCCACAGGTCACCTGAACAGTTTGGCGGTTGTACACCTTCACCACATGGAACCGGAAGCTATAGACACCACGGACAGGGGCCACGAAGGAGCCTGAGGCCCGGTCAAAGCCACCACCCTCATTTACCAGGACCTGTGGGAAGCAGACTCTGCTGAGTGGGGCTCGGGGAAACTACTGGGCTGTGGGGAGGAAAAGTAGGGGTGGCAAGAAGACAAGAACAGGAGGAAGGCCCAGATTCAAAAGAAATGGTGAGAAAGGGCAAGGAGGGATGTGGGTAGGAGTGTAGGGAAGGGAGATGGGCAGTGGCGCTGAGGAGCCCCTGGTCACAGTGGGGGGCTTTTCCTTAAGAGCGAAGTGGGTTTGGGCAGTTGATTCCAGGTCCTTACAGGTCGTCTGGACAAGGGTAGGGGGATTACCTGGTCGAAGTAGATGGCCCCACTGGTGCCATTGCTGATCTCTCCTGCTGGCTCATGGTGGTGGCTTCGGACTGCGGCAAATGCCACTCTTCCAGGGGGCGCCTCTCCCAGGGCTGCTCCCCCAGGCCCCCCTGCAGCAGCTCGGCCAGGCTCACAGACCACCAGGCACTCACCCTCCAGGAGGACAGGCTCTGCCCCCTCTTGGGCCCACCCGCACCCTAGAGCCAGAAGCATCAGGGCCAAGGGCAGCCTGGGGCTGGGTAGGAGACCCGGTAGCCAGTGTCGCTTGGCTCCCAGCATGGCTGAGTGGCTCTGTGACCCACAAGTCCTCCTGTCTTCTGCCCCCTCTCGGTGTTCCTTTCAGTTTCCGCTTCTGGCGGACTCTCACTACCTCTCACCCTGCTCCTCAGCCCTCTCTCTGGGTCTCACTGTTCCCTGGTCTCAGCATGTCTCTCTCCATACCTCTCTGTCCTGCCTCTCTCTCCCACCGTCCCTGCAGTTCCCTCCTCCTTGGCAGGGCATGAAGTGACAGCAGCAGTTGGGCTTGAGGAGGGAGAGGAGGGATGAAGCAGCCAGACAGGAGGGCTACAGCCAGAACCCAGGGCAGCCCTCCTGGAGAGCACTGAAGGCTGCATATGGGACGACAGAGAACTTGTTGTGTTCGTAAGAGTGTACATGTGCCTGTGAGGACGTGTGAGTGCCCGTCATGTATGTGTGTGAGTGCATGTGTGCGCAAGACAGCGCTACAGTCCCTTACTTCTCCTTGTTCCTCCCCTCTTCAAAATCCCTCGCTAGTCAACAGCCCTCAGTGGCCCCTTTCCGCTCTTGGAAGAAAGCGGGCGCCCTTGTCTTTTCCCTACAATTGTTTTGGTGGAAAGTGCTTGGGCCAACGGTGTCAGTATCTTGTGACCGTGGGCCAGTCTCTTTCTCTCTTTGGTCTTCCATATCTTCATCCGAAGGTAATGGATTAGTCCCTTTAAGACCTTCTTCACCTCCAGCTCTCAACGAGTGGCTTTTCTCTCCCGAGAAACAGCTGCTCAGAACGAGCGAGAACCCAGACTTACGCGGAGAGAAGAGCCCATCAGCCAGGCTTGGACGCGGAGCCCGGGGGAACTGCGGGCGAGTGGGCGGGCCGGGGAGGCGGGGCCGGGGGCGGGCCGGGGAGGAGCCCGGCGGAAGGCGCGCGCTAGGGCCCGGAGCCGGCCCAGCGCGGGGTGGGGTCTGGCTGACTCCACCCCGGGCCAGGAAGTGACTCAAAAAACTGTTCGAGATGTGAAGACAGGTCCCAGTTGGGTGAGGACTTCGGGAAGGCCCGCCCAGATTCGGCCCTCCCCCCGCCCCCCGCCCTTCTCCTCTGGGCCTGGGGCGCGGGCGAAGCTGGGGGCGGCAGGCTCCGAGAGGCCCCGGCGGGACTGAGGCCGAAGCGGGCGGTCGAGGCGGGTAGGCTCGCTCTCCCCCGTGCCGGGGCCGCGGGAGCCGAGCCGGAGGCCCCAGTGCAGAGTGCGGCCGGGGGGAGGGGCTGTGGCCGCAGGCGGCTGTGGGCGGTACCCGGCCTGGCCCCTGGGCCCCGAGTGGGGCCGTACCGCGCCGGAGAGGAGCGGCGGACAGCGGAGGGAGGGGGAGAGGTGGGAGGGGCTAGAACCTTGGAAATGGCAGACCAGGGACTCCAGAGGACATCCCAGTTCAAGCCCCGGTGAGGATTCGTCTTTAAGAGGCCGCTTTGGACCCGGAGACTGCAGAGACCCCGAGGAGAGAGACTGTTTTGTCATCTGTTCACTTCTGGCCTCCAGACCGAGCTGGAGCCCCCCACTCTTCCTGCTTAGGGCCCTGGTCAGCCTTTTCCAGAGGCCAGATGCCCATCCCCAACAGGCAGCCTTGTTTGCCCATGACTTCATCTCGGAGAGAAGACCCGGTTCCGCATAATCTGACATTCCCTTCCTAGATGGACCCAGGGTGTTTACTAGATGGGTAACTAAGTGCGACCTGTTGATAGCTGGTGTCGGCTGGGAGACCAAAATTTGGGTTGAGGGGACGAGGAGGCTCTGAGCTGCCTTCCCTCCTTCCAGGGCTGGGTGGCCAAGCAGCCATGCCTACGTGGGGGGCTGGCTCGCCGTCCCCTGACCGCTTTGCTGTGTCTGCGGAAGCTGAGGACAAGGTGCGGGAGCAGCAACCGTACGTGGAGCGCATCTTCAGCGTGGGGATGAGTGTCCTCCCGAAGGACTGTCCTGAGAATCCTCACATCTGGCTGCAGCTGGAGGGCCCCAAGGAGAATGCCAGCAGAGCCAAGGTGAACACCCCTCTCTGCCCCTTCAGGGAACAGTGATTCCCTCCCCTGCACAGAGGCAGAGGAGAGGAGGGGCTGCTGGGGAGGATCTCCACTCACTCCTTGGTTGTCTTACTGGCAACCTCAGTGGCTCTGAACTTTGAGGGACTTTGCAAATCTATTTCTGTGGAGTTTTGGTTTCATTTCAGCCGTGATGAGCCAGTTTCTGCCAAGACTTAGCGACAGGTGATTCGCTCAAATCAGTTGTGACTGGGAGATAATCCAGTTGGGCAAGCAGGCCCCACCAAGGAATTCAGTGGGGGATGGGAAGCCAGGCCACATTGCTTCCTTCGGTCAGAGGTTCCAGTACAGCTCCACCACCTACCAGCTCTGTGACAGAGTCTCCTATTTCCTTATTTATGAAATGTGAATAATAGCAGTGTCCACCTCATTGGGCTTATTGTGAATGAGATAAAGCATGAGTTCAGCAAAAGTTAGCAATGACAGTCATTATGATGGAAATATGTAACACACATACACGCATAAATATTTAGAGAGACAACCTTGTTAATTATAATCAGTTAATTATAATAGTACCTTAAGTTGAGTCAAGTTCTAAATGGAAATATTAGCCATAGACTATCAACTGAAAAGGGAAGGAAGTGGATTCTTGATCCCTTTTTAATCCTTACCTTTGTCAGGATCTATGGGGCTCCATTGCTCTGCCCAGGCGTCTTGGAGCTTGGGGTGGGATGCAATGGGCTTGAAGAGGCTACTGGGCCATGTAGAATTCCAGCAGTCTCCTTTTTCCCTACCCCCCC